CACCACAGGTAAGGTGAAGTAGACGACCTCCTAACCACCATTTCAATTCTTCGGGAAATTCAAGAAACCTGCAGTTTTATAATCAGGTTTTTCCGCAATATGTTAACTGATAATACAGATAAGGGAAATCTACAAATATAAATCAACAACACTTATAAATACAGTAAAATAAAAATGCATTGAACATTTATTAAAGTGTATTCCACTGCGTGTCCTAATTCCCCATCCATAAAACCCCTTTAACCACCCTTTTAGTAGGAAAAATGCAGGGAGTAGGGATTAATGGGTGGGCCTACATAAGCTACTGTTGCCCCCTAACCTTGTGCAAAATAAACAAAGAATATACAGTACCCCTGTAGCACAGGGATTTGCATACAGTTCTCTATCAAAAAAAAACAATTTTTTGCTCCCTGACATTCCAGCTACCTCATGTGCGGGGCAACATTCATGTTCTGAATGTTAAAGAACTTTCTGCTATTGCAACTTGTTTAAGCCAGAGCGGTGAGATACAAATCCTATAGGCGCAGTTCAGTCAGGCATTTGCCTCTTCACGTCCGGCGTCTAAATCGGTCATCCAACACTGTACGAAAAAGAAAATTAGATTGCCTGCACAAAATGTAAAAGTAAATAATATTTACTGCCCTGCTCTGGCTCTAAAATTTTGTCGGGAAAGTGATTTTGGTAAAACAAGTTTATGTATTGCACCTCATATACCCCTAAACCCAGCATTTGTCCTACGGAAACGGTGGTTATAGGACTTTTAGGGGTGGAGAAATAGGATAGGCGGGGAACGCAATTTTTAGAAGTACGTGCAAAGTGAAAAAATGTAGTCGAATTTGTTTCCTGCGGCCGCTGGGAGTAAGTTTTTCCTCATGTAAATTGAAGGTGTACGCGGCGCTTCGTGCCTTGGACTATCCTAATCTTACTCCAGAACGGTAAGTTGAAGAAGACGGCCTCCTAACCACCATTTATATTTTCAGGAATTTCAAGAAATCTGCAATTTGATAATCGGGTTTTTCCGCAATACGTCAAACGATAATGCAGATTAGGAAAATGTACAGACGTAAATCAACAACCTTTCTAAATACAATAAAATAAAAATGCATATAGCAGTTATTAAAGTATATTCCACTGCCTATTTTAATTCCCCACTCATAAGACCCTATAACTACCGTTACCGTAGGACAAAATGCTGGGACTAGGGATATATGAGGTGCACTACATAAACTACAGTTGTCGTGATTTTTTTCAGAAAAATGGTCTTACCCTGAGGTTGCTTGCGTTTAGTGCATAGTTGCGTTGTAAATGGACGCAACAAGGGACCTTCAAAAATATATGAGGTCAAACCACTGAGGTATTAGGGTACATACACGCGAAACTCTCCTTTAACGTTACCTGATCCAACTTTAACAAAAGGTTGAAACTAATTATGTTCACTTAATTACTAAGAGGAATAAAACGTCAGTGTAATTTTTGATCGAACTTCAGAACTCAGACGGAAAAACAGTTAACGACTTTAGCCTCAACTATAGAGAGAGGAAGTACCCTGCAGTATGCGTTTTGTGTTATGTGACATTGTTTTGCTCTGCTTTACCTCATTTATATATATATCTGACAGGCTCGAAGGAAAGACACCCATACCTCCCGTTGTGGGTCAACGTACACCACAAAAATATACCAACTCCCCATCACTAAGGATCACAGGTACTTCTACAGCTTACCAGAAGGCAGCTACCGGAATACAGGAACGAATACACATGTCAGGAGAATCTACGGCAGCTCATCGGTCTTCACAACCTTCAGCTTCTTTGCACCGCGAATCAACCGCTTCCGAGGATCACCTGAAGAGCTGGGGTGTTGGTAGTGGTTCAAGCGAACCACGGAAGTCGGGAGGTCTGTCTAGGGACAAGACCGTCGCTCAGCCTAAACTGATGGCCACCTACGCCAGATCGACCTCCCGGGATGAGAAACGAGTCCTGCCGAGGAATGTCAGCTGCCCGCCCAAGTGCCCTGTAACTGGGGCAGGGCAAGCCGGAGACAGCAATGAGAGGTCAGTGGCACGGGTCCACGTGGCATCAAGGCTGCAACCCGTGATACCACCCAGCACTGGTTACCGCTCTCCGGCTGGCATAGAACTTCGAGTTCCAAAAACGGAAAACTTGATGCGCTCCATCGTCGACTTCCACAAGACAAAATACCAACGAGCCGGTGAGTCCGACAGCCCGGTTCTTTGTCTTCATAACTCAAATGCTAATAATTCCGAAAGCCCTAGCTCGAAGGAGCCGGAAAAAAAAACGTCAAATCAAAAGCCTGTTGTTTGCAGTAGAGAAAGTTGTGAAGATATTGTTGATTCAGATTCTCTACACCAGGATCTGACCTCCATGGGCTTTGCTGTCCTCAAGAGTCCGCTACAGTCAGTTACGTGTGTCAAAACCGCTAGTAGTAGGAAGAAACTGCCAAAGACTCTGCCAATATCAAAGCAACCACAACCTAGAAAGTTCGACAACTCGTCGCCAAAGTCGTACAAAATCTTGAAGATGCGCCCTCAAGCGGTGGCTGGTGAAATTTCGACCATCCGAACGGCTGTTCGACTTCGGGCTAAGTGAGCGGAGTTC